GGTTTAGTCCATTATCATCATGGCGGGACATGGCGGCATGTAGACAGATATGTGCTAGAGAAGGAGCTGAGAGTTCTACATCTTGATCCTGTAGGCAACAGGAAGTGAACTGTGTCCCTGGACACAACTGGAGCATAGGAGGCCTCAAAGCCCACCCCCACAGTGACACACTTCCCCCAATAAGGCCATATGTACTCCTACAAAGCCACACCTCCTAATAGTGCCACTCCCTATGAGCTTATGGGGGCCAACTACACTCAAGCTACCACAGATACCTTCTTTGGTCACTCTACTGTATGTGTATGTATTGAGGTAGGCTCTTTTGTTGAGCCTGGACTTAGTGTTTTGTCTCGTTCACTAATCGGCTCACTCCAGGGATTCCCTGTATCCACTATCCCCACACAACTTCTTCAGAGATTCTGAAGATCAAACACTAGTGCGCACACTTACAGAGCAATCAGTTTGCCTGATGGTCAATCTCTCCAGCTCAGACTTCTGAATTTTTAAAATAATTAATTCAGAATTATTAGCAGTTGCTCTGGAATGTATATTTTAACACATCACAATCTAAAGTTGGTCCCAATTGTGTTCCATTTCACTTCTTAAATACTTATGAACTCCCTGTAAGCAAGAACTCTACCAGTTACCTTTTTAGGGCTGATATGTGATACATATGTGGGAGATGCTGTCTGAATAAGTTATATAAGGAACATGGGCTTCATTGTCACTTGCTATACAGGAGTCTAGAATCTGCTGGCCAGATAAAAGAGCCACTGTATGCAACTAAAACTCAGAGATTCTCATTGGCAAAATTTGAGTCCACACTGTCTTAATACCATCCCAAATGATGTGAATATTTTAAGGATAGAAAAATCATTTGCTGTCCCATCCTAATGACATCTATAAACCCAAAGTTATGTCTTCACTGAAGTCCTAGTATCTGATATGAATATTAGACTAGCAGCTAATGTAATCATCATAAAAACCTAGGCATTAAAGCATTAATTTATTACATTGCAACTTTTTTAACAATAATTTTATTGAGGTATGACATCCCAAATTTACTGCCTTTAACCTGTAAAATTCAATGATTTTAGTAGACTGGAATGAGGTCCTGACCCTCCAGCTTACTCCTTAGCAAGGGACATGGATTGCATTAGATCCACTCACAAGGAAAATTTGAAAATGTGGGTTATGTGGTCTCATTTGCATAATTCAAGGCAGTGTAATGAAGGGGAAGATTTTATTTTAAATAGCTAATTAGGAAAGTGATTGATTAGCATCATTAACCATTAGCTATTGTCAGGTAAGTGCTATTTAAACTAAGTGTAGTGTGTAATATGGGCCCTCATTAGAGTTGTGTGAATAATGTTTCCAAAACCTTACAAGCGAACTTCCAACTTGCCCTCATTCCTTTGGTGGAATCTCACAGTGAGTTAACTAGCATCTCAGGAATTCAGGGTCAAGCCTGTCATGGGTAAACCTCTGGTTTGTGAAATCCCAGCACAGGAAGTGTTTTTATCATTTAAAAAAATGAAATGCATATTGGAAGTAGGGAGCTCGCTCAGTGAGTAAAGTGTGAGGAAATGAGTTTGATCTCTAGAACTCATATAAAAAAGCCAGATGTGGTTAGCATGAGCAAGTAATCCCAGCTTCTGAGAAAACAGGGACAGAGGGAACCCTAGGGCTCCCTGAACAGCCATGCCATCCTGCCATCCTGATAGCTAGATTCAGACCACTGGGAGACCCCGGCACAAGAGAACAAGGTGGGTGGTGTCTGAGGAATGATATCCAAATTTGACCTCTGGCCCCACAAGCAAATATATACATGTTCATCTGCCATCCAAACTCACATACAGGTGTGCACGCACACACAATCAGAGAGAGAGAGAGACAGAGAGACAGAGAGAGACAGACAGACAGACAGACAGAGACAGAGAGAGAGACAGAGAGAGAGAAGAGAAAGTTGTTACCACTGGCATTTACTAAGTGAAGGGCAAAAATGATATCAAGCACCCAAAAGTTACCCACTGACCCAGAACAAAGAATGATTTGGTTCCAAATGCCAGTAGTGGTGAGATAGAAACAGTCAGTGAAAATTTGCACCATCATTAAACCTCTCAATAGATATACATTTCATATACGCATTTTGTTCCTAGTGTTGCCTAGTGCCTTGTGAGCACGTCCTACAAAAAGCAGTGTGGAAGAAACAGGGAGAATGCTAGCTGACATAGTAATGAGCTCAGAGGCTGAGGGCACACCTGTCCAGGGGAGGATCCTGCCATTTAATCTCTCTTCTACCCCCAAAGAACACTGCTGCCAAGGGACAGCCTCCCTTGGTGCTGGCGATAGAGAACCCCTAAGTATTACAGGAATGGGAAGGAGGCAGGTGAAGGAAGGAGGGAAGGAAGGAAAAATGTAAGAAGGGGGAGGGAAGGGAGGACAATCCTCTTTAGAAAACAGCCCAAGAGATAAAGTGTGGTTGTCAGTGGCAAAGAGAAGAAAAGCACTCACGTTCACAAACATGCGTGATGGGTATGTGGTGAGGGTGATGCCTCTTAGTTGTGAGTTGGTCAGGAAGAGCCATGAGTGGAAACCTGCATGATGAGATGTACCCAGCATACAAAACTCTGTGGGAAGAGCCTTTAGGGTGAAACAACTCCCTTCTCCAAGGATCTGAATGAATTTGGGATGAGATTCCTTATGCATATACATGTCTCTGGTTGGCATTCAGAGACCTGAATGCTGCAGTTTGAGGGTAATCACCAGATTCTTAAGGGAGGGCTCACAGGCAGGTGAACAGGTAGCCCAGCAGGAGATGGAAATCCGCATCGTGTCTTTGCACTAAATTATGAGCTAAAAGGTAGGGCTTTCTGTGTTGGGCCTTTTTTAAACAGACAGATGGGTTCAATGCAGGGATAAAAGGAGGAGGACTGATAACAGCAGATTTCATGGAAATGGATTGGAGATTGTGCTGTGTTTACCGTCTGCACCAGAATTTCAGAGTTAGGACTGTCCATCGGAACAGCTGCTGCAAGGTACAGAAGCCTGTAAGGAGCGCATGGTCAGGGTTACCACTCTAGCAATAAAAATAGCCCAAGTCCTGAGGAACCAGAGCCTCCGTGTTAACTCTCTAGGGCACTGCTCCCAAGAGGTACAACCACTTTAAAACTTCACCAGATGTGGAAAACACATCATCATCCTCTCCAAGTTCAGCAGCAGAGCATTCAGGGTGATGGGTTCTCATGGCTCACAGACTCTGAGTTAGCAAGTTAGGCCTCTTCTCTCTGAATCCCTGGTAGGTTTGCATATAAAAGTTAGCTTCAACTAACTATTTAGAAGTTAGCACAGGGCTGCCACTCACTCTCTCGCTCCAACAGGGGCCTTTCTTCCATGCAAATTGTTTTCCCGTGTAAATCAAGATATAGGGTGCTTCGGTTAGATTTCTTAAAACTGGAGCCATGCCCACGGCCCCACCCCCCCCACCTCCCCTCCTCCCTGTCTCCCTGCAGGTGTTGTTACCTGTGAAATCTTGCCCGGGGGCATCTTATTATGGTATGGTTATATTTATTATTATCATCTTTTTAAATTTTTTATGGATATGAATGTTTGCCTCTATGCACCATGAGCATACTCTGGCCAAAAGAGGGCATCCTCTGGAACTGTAGTTACAGACAATTGTGAGGCATCTTGTGGGTACTGGGAACCAGATCAGGGTCCTCTGCCAGAGAAGCACGTGCTCTTACCTTCTGAGCCATCTTTCTCTCCAGACCTTCATTTCAGTGTCTTAACATTTCAGAGCAAAATACTGAAACAAGCATTTTTGTTACAAATGCCTTAGACCAGAGAGGTTGGAAATGGTCACCTACAGGACCAATTCTAGTTGCCACATGATTTTATTTACTTTTAATTTTTTTTAATATTTTTATCGTGACATCTTTCCTGTATTGTAAAGTATACTCTTTTAAAACATATAACTCACTGGCTTCTTCATACACTTGACAGAATTTGATACCTAACCCCCACAATCTAATTTTAGAGCTCTTTCAGTATCCTGAAAGAACTCAGCATACATTTCCTCCTCTTATTTGGTACTTCTCCATATCTCTAGGAGCACTATTCTGTTTTATCAATGGATTTACATATTTGGGGGTATTTTAGATCAATGCAATGATACATGCGCCTTTGTGACTGACTTTATTCACTTAACATGATGTTTTCCAGGACCATCATATATCATGGATCAGTCCTTCATCTTTTCTATTGCTAAATAATATTCTCTTGTGTGAATGCATTTTATTTATCCATTTCTAAGTTGTAGCTATTTGGACTGTTCCCACCCCTTACCGAGTAGAAATATTGCTTTGGACATGAATATATGGGTTATCATGTGGGCATGTTTTTATCCCTCTTGAGCAGGTACCCAGAAGTAGAGTTGTGTCATATGTAACTCTATGTTTGGTATTTTGCAGAACTGAAAACCTGTTTTGAATTGTGGTTGCTTTAGTTTAGAATTCTAGCCAGCCATGCATAAGGATTCCTATTTCTCCACACCATTGCCAACATTCACAGTTATCTGTCTTTTTATTTTAACTACATTGATAGATAAGAATGAATTTGCATTCCCCTACTGACCAATGCTGAGTATCCATCTGATCATGAGCTTTTTGGCCACTGGTGCCTCTTTTCTAGAGAGATGTTGATTTAAAACCTTTGCCTGTATTTAAATGATAATAGTTTGTCTTTTTGCTATGTTATATGAGCTCTTTACATTATCTAGAAATAAGCTTATTGCACTGTGGCATATCTGCTGCCTGTTTTTGTAAATAAAGTTGTGTTGGCATGCCACCACACCTTCTTCCTATGAAGATACTTTCTTACCAAAATGGAAAAGCTGGATAGTTGGATAGAAACTGTATGGACTGCAATACAAAAATGTTGACTGCCTGGCTCTTAAAAAAAAAGAAAAGAAAGAAAAAGAAAGAAAAAAAAAGCTCGCTAACACTTTTATAAGATGAAAATTTCAGAGTCTATTTAAAACAAAACCAAACAAAGGTCACTTCTTCACTCACCTTTTTTATCATGTTCTTATAGAAATGAGATGATATTGGAATCAGAGGTTATTTAAATGGATGTTGACATAAGAGTTTCATGCATCAGAATTTGTCTGTCAGTTGTACCTGTTGCATGTGGTTTTGCAGAAATCCTAACCAAAGTCTCCAAGGTTCCTAAAAGTACCTATTGTCATTATCAGTCCCAGCAGCAATTCACTCAATCTTCACTCTGATGCATAGACCTTGGGAAAGTACACTCATTATGATACTTGGTACTGTGCTGGAAAGGCCCCCAAATACTTTGGTGGATAAGAGTTTATGGGATCTTTCTTTCATTTCCTTCCTTCCTTCCTTCCTTCCTTCCTTCCTTCCTTCCTTCCTTCCTTCCTTCCTTCCTTTTTTGCCAATATGGCTCATGAACGATTGAGGGATTTATTTTATTGCATCTACCTAAGCAAATCTTTCAAGGACCTTTTTGATCTCTATTAAGATGAAAATATATGGTACTCATGCTAAGGAAAGGACTCATTGGGGGTCAAGAAGGTTAAGTGTAATTCCTTTCCTGGAAAGCGAAGGGCAGATGTGAATAGAATCTTCAGCAGAAGCATGGGTGCTTTGACAGTCTGTCAACATTGTTGCTAATGGAGTAAGCCTTAGCCAGCATGTGATTAGAAAGAGACAGTACTGACCACAACTTTTTGTCCCCAAGGGCCACACTCACTGCCAGTTCTCAGAGTCTCTTCTGCTTCTGGGTAAGCAGCCCTAATTGATGCCAGGATCAATGTCTGACTGCCATCCACACTTCAAGTCAAAGTATGTGATTACATGTGGCCCAGCTCATGGAAGATGGGCGTGTATAGTCTTATTTAACAATCAGAGGAGATTTCAGAGTGGAAGCATAGGGAACAGGCATGTAATTGTTTTTCCTCCATAAACCTTCTGCCTTCCTGAACTCACCTTCCTGAATTCAGCTGGGCTGGTCAGACCTCAGCCAAAATCGATTTGCAGTTGCATTTGTTTTATTTACGGTATATGTCACTAATCTGTTTATGCTGTACATTACTCTCTCATGCTCTCTCCAGTTCTTTCTACAACCCTCAACAGTCAGGGTTGGTTCACAGAAAAGCGTTTCCCAGTGATGTTAGCCGTTTCCACATTAGACAACCCCAAATTGACCCTCAGAGATCCCTTTTTCTTGTTCTATGCCAATTGCCTTCTTCATGCTCCCCCCCCCGCCCCCGCCCATCAATGTTCTGGTCTTTCTAGGCTGACTCACTCATTTATCTAGCTTGTAAATGTCACAGACTCCAGAGTTCTCCATCTGTATCCGCTCTACCGTCAAGGTTTTGAGCACCATGCAGACACTGGTGATGATCCCAGCCAGATCTGCTTAGGTTGGCTTGCCTTCACCATGACCAAAAAGAAAGTTGGGGAAGAAAGGGTTTATTTGGCTTATACCTCCACACTGTAGTCCATTATTGAAGGAAGCCAGGATAGGAACTCAAGGAGAGCAGGAACCTGGAGACAGGAGCTGGCACAGAGGCCATCAAGTAGTGCTGCTTACTGGTTCACTCTCCATGGCTTGCTCAGCCTGCTTTCTTATAGAACTCAGGACCACCAGCCTGGGGATGGCACCACCCACAATGGGCTGGACCTGCCCCCATTCATCACTAATTAAGAAAATGTCCTGTTGCCAGATATTATGGAAGCATTTTCTCAATTGAGGTTCCTTCCTTTCAGATAACTCTAGCGTGTGTTAAGTTGGCATAAAACTGGCCAGCACAACTTGTATTTGAATTTCTACTCCATCATTTATTGGTGGGATAACCTTGGGCACACTTGCTTTTGAGGTTCATGTGCTATGTAGCAGTAAATGAGGTTTTCATTATAAGGCAGATAAAAAATTGGTTACTGAGTTTAGAAGATACTTGGCACTAAATTGGATGCTTGTCTTGGGTTTCTAGTGTTGTGATAAAATACCATGACCAAAAGCAACCTGGTAAGGCAAGTGTTCATTTCAGCTTACAGTTCCACATCATAGTCTGTCCTCAAAGGATGTCAGTAAAGAAATTCAAGGCAGGAACCTGGAGGCAGGAGCTGAAGCAGAAGTCATGGAAGAACTCTGCTTAAGGGCTTCTCTCGCAGCGGCTTTCTCTTGTAACACCTAAGACCGCCTACCCAAGGGTGGTACCACCCCCTGTGAGCTGGGCCTGACCACAGTAGACATCAATTAAGAAAAATGCCCAGAGACCAAACCCTAATTGGGGCATTTTCTCAATTGAGGTTTCCTCTTCCCGAATAACTCTAGCTTGTGTCAAACTGACATCAAACTAGCCAGCACCACACTCAATAAATGTTGATGGTGGTGCTATTATTGTTTTTGTCTAAGTGATTAGTACAATGATGTCATAGTCTAGATAGTGTGGCTGACTGCACAGTGAATGGAGGGTAATGGGAGATTGGTTTGTGTTACTCACACTAACTACAGGCCTCTACGTCTGGGTTTATCGGGCACACAATGAACCATGTGTGACTTTTGGAAAGTTTTTTCCCCCCTTTTCCATACTTCTAGTTACTATTTGTAAAATAAAGGTGCTGAATTATATCAAAGTAGCAAATTGCACTAATCCCCTATGTCAACACTAGTTGATCTGTTGTAAGCACCTGAGAAACAGATTGGAAAGGATTCTGAGCTGGTCGGGAACCAGCTAAGTTTGCTGTGATCTGTTAGCAATGCCCATGATGGACGAGGAGGCCAATGACAACTTTTGTTGTGAAATTTTCCAGGCCTAGACATACTGTTCTTGAGGGCATTTCCTGGCTTCTTTGATTCATTTCCGGGGTCATCTTAATGGACCCGTGAGGCTGGATGAGCGCCTACCTACCCAGAGGATTCGGAACCTTCAGTGTCTGGTGTGGAAATAGATGATCAGAAAGCAGGCCAGTAAGATAGAAAGCCAAGCCTCTGAATGAGACCAAGGCCTCTGTGAGACCTCATTGCAATTTGAGTATTAAAAAAATGAAGAATTTCCATCAAGAGAGAGAAGAGGATGGTCCCCTAAAGTTCTATAGATAATCCAGCTTGGTTTGTAAATTGGCGTGTCTTGTAGATTTCTGATAGTAGCATATAGTAGATCTACTGATGGGTTTTTAACTACACTGGACGCAGTGCTTCCTGATCTGCATAGGAAGTTACAGGTCTCAAATGGTTGCTGTGTAACTATGCATATGGAGTACATATAAATTTCTTTGGAAACCAATTTATCCACTTCTTTCAATATTTAAAGCATTGTTTCTCAACCTTCTTAACACTGCGACCCTTTAATACAGTTCCTCATGCTGTGGTGACCCCCAAGCATAAAATTTCATTGCTACTTCATGACTGTAATTTTGCTACTGTTATGAATAGTCATGTAAATAGATGATGTGACCACCCCTGCGAAAGGGTCATTTGAGCCCAAAGGGGTTGTGACCCACAGGTTGAGAAGGAGTGTGAGACAAAGGGGTCTGTTTTCAGAAGTTCTTAGTTAGCTTCAGCAAAGGAATGTGATTTTCAGGAACCTTCAGCAGGAAGCCCAGGTGTGGGTCTCTTTTTGGCTTTCTGTTTTCGTACGGCAACATGAGATCATGTCTTTGTCCACTGGCATTTCATCATCTTGAGCACAAGATTCTTTCTGCAGAGTCTGAGTTACCTGCTGTAACTGTGCAAGCTCTTCCAGCTTGGTAGCCCATCTGATTCCTCACAAACGGCTTCATCATTGCCTGCTTTCCTTGCCTTTCCCATCTACTTCACTGCAGAAAGCTGCAGCGTCTGTGAACTCGGTGCCCTCCCTGAGCAAAAACCACCTGCCTGTCACCACCGTGTCATGCTGCCTTTAATGAAAATGTAACATTTCAGATAACTTTCTCTGAGACAATCAGCACTAAGCATGATTTGGGGCCTCAGCATCTCCTCCAGCCCAGCACTATGATGGAAGGACATTCTTATGGGGAAATCTATGAATAGGACAGCAGTAATACGCAGCTGAAAATAATCTGTGAGGCGTTTGCAAATTGCCCCTCGTGAGCTACAGTGCTTGTGAAAGATAATTTGTGGTTCTTGCAGAATTCCCTGCAAACTGGGTCTTTCATCTGCTGTGCATTTTGCAATTAAAACATTTCATTTCTCATATTAACAAATGATAACTCCACGTTTGTTCATCTAAACAACTTGATTTATATTTTTCTGTGCTGAGAAGCTGTTGACATTTCAGAGTAAGTAATTATTTTCATTGCCAACTGCTGTGTGTGGTGACTGTAGGCAAATGATAGAAATCTGAGTATACATGTGAATCATTTAAATCCTTTTGCTTAAAGACTACCTATGAAGCTAGAAGCTATCATCTGGACTTTGACATCTAATAGGATTAGGATGTTGACAAGCATGGGTTTAGGCCCCATCCATGGTTTGTGCTGTGTACTGGAAACTCTTTGATGTAATCTCTGAGGACAAGGCTTACCTACAGCACCTCCAAACTATCAGCAGGCCACAGTAGACTTGCAGTCTCAAATCACTTGTTAGAGGAGGTATGTGCTGTTGGCCCTGGGAGTTCTTGGGGCATGTGATAGCTGCTCAGGCATCCCTCGGAAGAGTGTCAGAATTCTGTGTGGAATGCTCATGGGAACAGTTTGCGCCATGCCTGCTAACAGTGTGAGCTTGGAAAACATTTGGTCAAATGGAGATGAAAAATAACGGACCTTCTCAATTTCCTCTCACATTACATTCTTGGCCAACAGCAACAACAAAGGCAGTTAGGACAATGGAAAGAAATGCTTTTTCAGCTTGAAAGTAGCTGCTACATCCTTGGAATAGGAACTCAATCACCACACGGTTGAGTTGGACCACCTTGGCACAATAGGGAGGTGGTATCATGGCAACTAACAGCCCATGCAGCCATGAGGCCTTCCCTGAGAACTCTGTTTGTTCTATTCATTCTTACACTGTAATCATTAAAACATACTAATTGCACAGGCTAATGGTTTCACTGTGACTTTCCATTCATATATACATTGTGCATTTAAACTTATAATTTTATGCATCTAGTTTTATTTTGATATTCAGAAAAGTGTTTGCTATTCACACTTCAACTTCTTCTCCCAAGGAAACTATCTAGCTGAATTGATGCTCCAAAAAGACAGTTGACCCTTAGCACACTGGTTTACAAGGTTTACACTGCTTACAGCTTGCATCTGTCCATCCCAGCACATGCATGTCCCATTGGCGTTCCAATTTGGGAGTAGACTACTGACTGGGGATCCAAACCAATTTTTACATGGCCTTGAGGGGTGAAGTAGAGCCAGTACCCTGAATGGCAAATGTGCTTTATCCTTTGAACCAACTCCAATTGATTAGTTCTGGTTGCCTATAGTGCTGTCTTAAGAAACCATCTGTGGTGTATTTGAGGCTCAGCTGGGAAGAGTGCTGGGATTGATTAGCAATGTCTGTCATGGGCTCTAGAGGAACAGCTTGCCCCATATTTGTCATTTTCTGCTTTTAACATGTCTTTAACTCCTCTGTGCTCTCTTCCTGTGCAAAGTAGTTATAATCTTAAAAAGTGCTTGTTGTATAAACAGAAAGAGTAGGTATAGGTATATTCCGCTTTAAGAAACCCGAGCAAAAAAATGCAAATTTGAAAAATGCATCAATCTGGAGCCAATTATTTCCATTACAGAAAAGATTCCATGAAAGGTTCCTTTAAATAGCGAGCTCCCCTGCTGCATTAAAATGATGATTCAATTTACAAAAATTCACTTTGCATGCAACTCTCCGGGACAAAGTCTGTGTGGACTTAGCAAGCCATACCTGAACTTTTTAAAGCCACACTTCAGCACTAGCCAGGATGTCTGCCACCAAGTACCTCAAGTCCCCCAGTAATGCCCACTCCCCGTCCCACGTCCTTCTTGCTTCCTCTCCCAGAGTGTTGAGCATACCATCTGGGTGGTGATCAGCAGCTACTGGCTCCCACCCCGACACGGCTGCATTTCATTAGCGGGTAAGCTGATTGCTCCGAGGGTGTTTATGTGTGGGTGTAGCTGTACAAATTCGTGCCCTCTGTGCATTGTGTACGCAGACGCAGAGACACAAGCACCATTCAGCCTAATCTAAATTCATCCCTGCTGTGAGTTCTAGGGTAAGGTTCCAGTTGGTTGGTGGATATGGCCTTTTGGTGATATCTGCCCTATATTCTGGTTCACCCCTCCTTCCCTCTGTGTTCCTTCACATCAAAAACCCTGCCCAGACTCCAGGCCTGAGTCCCATTAACCAGACATGGAACCCTTGTCTTCTCCTGCAGCTCAGAAAGCCCCAAATGGTTTTCTGATTTAGAAAATTAAATATAATCCGACTCTTGTGGCCAGCTATGAAATTCCCAACCAACAGACATTTCCACTAAATATATAACATACACAACATCTAAAAGTCCTACCAATCCAGCATGAACTTGAATTATAGAGGCATCCAGTACCCCTCGGGTAAGATCACCAGCCTCTTCCCAGGCACTCCAACTGGTGGCCCCCAAAGCTCCTAAGAATGCCTGTTGGCACACATGTCAACATTCCTGTTGCTCTGTAGAAACAAGTTAATCCAGAGAAAGGTACCTAAAAGCGATGGCCTCTCCCTTCTTCGTGTTCCTGCACATAGACTCATTGTCTAACCTCTCAGTTGCAGGATATGAGCATAACTACTTTGTCTGTGATATTTCAAAGCTATAGCATAAATTTCTTCCCATAAATTTGGGTACGTTTTTTTTTTTAACAGACACATGTTTTCTCTTAGTTGTTTTGGAAGACAATACACGGGAGAAGAGCAGTGATGCACATCAGGTCCACTCAAACATTTCTTGCGGCCCTCAGTTGATCAAGGAGGAACTTTGACATGGAGGTTCTCGGGCTGCGGAACTGTCCATTGGCTCCTTGCTTCCCATTTTCTCAGACTCACTGGTTGGTGCCAAGGGTCTCCCGTGGTACTGGGCCGTGATAGCTGCGTAGGTGCAGCCATAGATAGCAGCTGCCAACATCATGAGACATACAATCCCACATACCACCCCGGTGATGACCACAGTAGCCACAGCGTGGCGCAGGTTGGCTGGCTTTGGTTTGGGTTTGGGCTCACACTCCAAGGAATCTTGTTGTCCGGAGTTATTCTCAGAAGGCTTGTGGGCCTCTTGAGGGGCAGAACCAGGCTGCTGAACTAGTGAGGGTGCCAGGTCTGGAGAAGGCAGAGGACAGGGCTGGTATAGTTCATGGGGAATGGAGAGGAGGTCCTTTCCTTTCCAGTGTTCAGGCAGCCTGCAGATGGCGCTGTCTGTTACTCCCCCTTCAAGAAACAAAGCAAAGGGCGATAATGGAGCTTTGATGTGACAGCATTCGAAAGTCCTCAGCCTGCCACAGACTAGACAATTACTTATTGCTAAGAATTTATTAGAAACCAATTTCCCTTAATACTATATAAAGGCTGAGGGGACCACTGGGCACATACTGACAGGGACCATGAGGGCCCAACAGCCAAAGGCCTCACAGTCTCCATAATTCCTCCCATCTACTCCTCACCACACAAGAAACCTTTCCTGCCAGATTCTCACTGGAAATCAATGAAAGCATAAAGCAAATATCCATTCTTGTGTTTGTGTGTTAATTACAAAGACCCTAGGTATCTACCAACACTTTTTAGTTGAGTTTTATGTATCTGAGCATTTGAAAATACCATATGTTTAGTTCATGGTATTTAAGTAACTCATCTTCTTGGGCCTCATGACATTACTACTTTGAGTGCCAAATGTTCCAAGGAGTTATTCAATGTGGGTTTTGGTCTTTATAAGGTAGCTTAGTCCCTTGGGTGTCTGTGATATAGTTAGTTATCCTTCCTTAGACTACTGATGCCCATGTAACCACTGGTACACTATTCAACTTCACAGGAATGAACTTCCTCAAGTTTTCTGCTGTCAGAACATCCTATTTGTATCTGAGTAGACAGTTTAAAGTCCTCACCATCCACTCTTATAAGGAATTCTTTAATTCACACAGGGCATGAGTGGAGACATCAGCACCCAAACCCAGTCCCTCAGTACACTTCTCTCTTTCTACTCCTGTCTCTCTGTATCTCCTGGGACCATGGCAAGTGGCAGAAAAGCCTACTTTGACTGAGCAGGACCCATAGGACCTGTGGCTTGGTTCTCTCAGGCTGTCCTAAAAACCTTACCCATTGGGAAAGTGGCATGTTCCCTTTGCAAATGCAGATTGCAGATTCTCGGTATACATCATAGGGAAATTTTTTAATTAATTCCAGAAAGGCACATATGGTAATTGTCACTTCAGCGTTATTGGTACATGCCATTGTATAGTAGTTCAGGGTTTGGGAGATGTATGCCAATTCATGCTATCTAAGCATCTAAGATGAGTCATAAGTGCCCTGTAAGTAGAGAGAGCCACCCCATAAAAGGAGATCTGTCACTCAGAAACACCAGGGTTGACGACAGTGACCAAATTCAACACATACTTTTTGCTGCTATTGCTTAAAGCTGAATGATATCACAACCAGACTCAGCTGCCGCCGCTACCACCACCACTACCACCACCAAACTACCACCTCCACTACCACCACCACCACCACCACCACCTCCTTCCTCAATAATCCCTTGAGGCATAGATCCTGGCTTTAAAGCAAAAAGACCAAAGAGGAATTTCCTGAGCCTCTGGTGTTCATGAAACTAGAGGAACAAGGTGTCTGCTCCAGCTGAGCCAAGTGCCCCACCCAGCAGCACTGAGATGCGGGGCTCTGCCTCTGTGGGATCTTACCTCCCTTTGCACCTGACTATGGCGGCCCTCACTAGGAACTGTGTGTCAAGGCAGAAAGCTTGAGAGATAGAAACCCGGGGGTGGGAGGGAAGGAAGGCATTTCATCCAACCACAGCACAGTGAGGCTTCCACTGGGAGAACCCTGGCTACTGGGCCACGCAGCTTCGTGGACTGATATTCACCCAGACTGTTGTTACCTGTGCATTCAGATTCCAGTCTTTCTCTAGATCCACTTTCCACTAGAGAATTGCACTAAAATCCACAGCCTTGAGTCCCAGAGCAAAGGACAGGCCTAGAATGAATGCGTGGACATGGCAGGAAGGTGGGGCCTGTGGCTGGCACCCTCTCAGTCACCTCCTGTACAGTTAAACTGCACTGCTGGGTCAAGGGACCAAAACGAGCATTAGCACTGAGCACTAGCGAGTGGCATTCACTGGTCCAGCTTTGTGGCTGAATAGGAGAATGCCAGCCTTGCCTGTCCTGCTTTGGATGGCCTAGGTCTGGAAACAGATTGTTTTTTAACATCAAAAAATGTTCTTCCTTGATGAAAACTCTCTTTCTGGGATGATCTGGTTAATGCTGTGATTTGATTCCCAAAGCAAGGGCTCTAGCCACCTCACCTCCAGACGTGATTATTTTTGTTTTTGACCTATCAGAATGATGTTACTAAGTTCTCTAGTTGTCGTTGTACGCTAACTTCAACACTGGCTGGTTGGCAATGTATCAACTGCTCTTAACTATTGAGAAACTTCCAAATTTGATGTTGCGAGTTTGAGCTCTCACTCTATAGAGGCCGTGCCTCCAGATGTTGGTTTTCTTCCCCTAATTCATATCTGCAGCTCTCAGATCTTCCTGAGCCATGGGCTTGAGCATACAATCACCAACAGAGCTCCTCTCTACAGTGTGACAAGTATTTCAAATATGTTCCCTTTCTGACTCTTCTATTGAGCACCTCCCCCAGACTCGCCCACGGCCTTCATTCCCTATTTACTAAAAGCATCACCATTTATGTAGTTACCAAACAGAATAAAATACACAAGAATCTCCCATAATTGCTCCCTCCTTCTCCCAGTCCATCACCTTCTCCAGTATCCCTCAGTAGTGTCTACCACTTCAATGTTCCAAACATCAGTCGCTTGTTACAGCCCTGGTATAGGCCACTGTCATCTCTTCTCTGATCCACTGAGATCACACCCCCCTTCATCCTCTGGCTCTTCTTCAACAGCCTGTGCACTGCCCTCTAAGAGTCAGCAGAGTGGCATTTTACACAGTGGTCAGATCATACTGTTCCCTAGACAAGAATTCCTCAGAACTTCCCACTTCCCTTAGAATACAATCCAGCCAGGGCACCTGCTCTGCACATGTGTAGAGACTGGGCAGGCACCCCAAGATGTGCTGTGTGTTACCTCCACCCAGACTCCCTCCTCTGTCTCTCACTAAGCTGGGCTGCTCAGTCACCAGACCCTAAGAATGCTGTGATGCTGTGTCCCCACCCCATGGCTCCCTTCCGTTCTTCTTTTCCTGGTTCTGGCTCTTACACGTGTCAGTCTCCTGGGAGGCTTTTCTTTCCCATCCTATCTAAGCTGGGGCGCATTCCCTCCCCCACTTTACCCTTGCCCTGCCTCACTGTCTTAGCACGGCCATCTGAACCCGTGCCTTTATCTATTATCTCAGATAATGCCTGTTTTTACCCTTCCAATGGAACCTTCATAATGATAAGCATTCCTATTCACTGCCTTTTTCTCTGGGTCTAGAGTAGTGCCTGGTACATCAAGGGCATTCAAGGAGAGGAATGAAGGAATAGTGCTCAGAGAAGCAGTATGGGGCCCAGGGAAGAACGTAAGGCCAACAGTCATACTGTCTCCTCTCATTTGTACTTCTCCTGTCCGACCTTAGGCCAGTCATTGAACATCTCTGGGCTTCTGTTTCCTATTGACAACAGAGGTCACCAGGCTTTTCTCTCAAGGTTCAGGTAGCAAAGACTGTTAAGTGTCCTGTATGGTTTCTGTCACAACTGCTGTACCTTGCCCTATTGTGTAAAATACCCACTCAGTACATTAATGAATGGCATGGCTGTGTTCAAATAAAGCTTTATTTATAAACAACAACAAAAAAAACTAGGCAGAATTTGGACCTTAGTCTATAGGTTATTAACCTCTGATTTCCAGAGTTTACTCTCTCTAATATTCTGGGCCTTTTTACTTAAATTTAGGCTTCTGATGAAAGAAATAATAACTTTGGAGAGGGGGCCTTCTGGACCCAGTTTCGGAATTTAATAAGATTTATAGCCATCATTAGGTAAAGATGGGAAGAGAGGGAAGCTGTCTAAGGAGTGAGAGCCACATCCTCCACCAGATCACACTTGGAAATTAAACCTGAGGATGCTTTGGTGCATGATTCCCAGGGAGAAGCCCATGTCATCTGTATGCACACTCTGATGAGCATAAATACCCATATGAAACTTCCTCCACACTCCAACTGACACTTGCTCCTTTGCTGCATCCTGAGGTTGGCATGGCATCCATGTTGAGATGTGCAAAAGCCTACAACTGTCCCTTGTACCCTCTTCTACCGTCTTGAGATGCGGAGGATGGAGGAGGTCCACCTTAGGCTGGTGACACACAGAATAGCATTTCTAAGACACACTACTGACCTTCAAAGGTGAATCTCTCCAGCCAGAGTTTCAGACCCAGCAAGTGGCAGTCACATTTCCAGGGGTTGTCCTTAAGAAGTACCAGTCTCACCTTGGGCATGGCCTCTAGAAGTGTACGATCCAGATGCAGGAGATGGTTCCGCTGCACGGCAAACATGGTCAGGTTCTCCCAAGGCTTGCCCAGGGACGTGGGCAGGAGACTGAGGCTGTTAGATGACAGATCCAGCTCCCTGAGCCCAGGCAGGGCATGGGCAAGGCTGCTTTCCAGGGAAAGCAGGGAATTTTGGGTTAGGTTTAAAACCTCCAAGTGCCGAAGTCCATAGAAAGCCTCTGAAGCCAGATTTGAAAGAGAGTTGTTAGATAAATTTAAGGTTCTGAGCAGTGGCACAGATCTAAATGCATGAGCAGGAAGCCAATGGACCTGGTTATCTTGTAAGAGCAGGGTTAGTGTCCATGGGGGTAGATCGGGAGGAATCTCGGACAGCCCCTGGCCACTGCAGTCCACAGAGTTTGAAGATGAGTGACACAAACATTTCTTGGGACAGCTGCCCACACCTTGGAGCAGGATACTCAGACTGGAAAACAGCAGCAGAGCTCCTGAAACAAAGAGAAGAGGGTGGGGTAGAGGCCAGTGTTTGAGAAAAGGTTGTCACCAGCCAGGGAATTCACATGTCATATGGTCCTGAGCCAGTAGTGCCTTCCACCCACCTAGAAAGAAAGTTCTATTCCTCGCCTTCTTAGCAGAATGGGACTGAGCATACCTAGCCCATCACCGAGTCCATCTCTGAGCCAGCCTTTGTCAGCAGCCTTGGAGAAGGGATTATAAGATTGATATCACATGAAATGGTGAAGGGAGTCGTTCTGGGGTACATGTCCTTTGGAGGTCAGAGCCAAATATGTGGGCTGTGGCAGATAGAAAGATAACAGAGGATCGGATATTCATACTTCTGAAAGGAACTCTCCAGAGGAGGACAGGCCAATTGAGCTTTGTGTGGGGGCAGAAATGTTCTGTGTCTGCCCTTCAACATGGGTGTCACTAGCCACCTATAGTAACGACAGTTACTAAGCTCCCAAAATGTGACTGCTGCAACCAAAGTGCTGACTTTGTTTTCATTCATTTAGATTGAAATGATCAGACATGGCTTCAGGTGACTGTATTGGCTAGGGCCTTCCCTACAAATGGCTGTCTGTCTATCATTGTGAGGAAAACCCCATCTGTGATGATTGTCTCTGCTCCTTTTTTATATACATGTTTAAATATTACCCCCAAATTGTTAGGGGTAATAATATGATAAGCATCCTTATTTCTGTAACCTGTGCCAGCACTCATAGGTTGTCAGACTTCCATCATCTTCCTGCTTTTCACTGGAAGTGCAGTGGGGCAGACTTCCCTGGTTTATGTCTTCATATATGTTCAAGTTAACAGTTACTGTCCTGGAATGACAGGTATGTGCCACCATATCCAGTTTTTCTGGGGCTGGAGGATCATACTCAGAGCTTTGCGTGTGCTAGGCAAGCACTACTACCCAAGATCCAGCCTTAATGCTATTCAAGAAATGAGAGCAGAGCTGAAATGTCCATCACATTTCCAGCTTGAGTTGAAATGGGGTGTAGTGTATCACCTGAGCACTCTTTTGAGATTTCTGGAGTTAGCTAAGGATTTTCCTCCTGAAGCTGAGGACTAAACCCAGGGTCTTGTGCTTGCTCCTCAAGTGCTCTACCACTGAGCTAAATCCACAGATTGTAAAGGTGCTGTCATATACTCAAATTCTCTTCATTTTCTTCAAGACCCAACATTTCCACATGTGGGAAGTATTGGGAACTTGTCTTTGGCTTGGGTTTGGAGCAAGACTGTTAGGTAGTCCTTCTGATTTTTATTTCTGTAATTGCTGGAAATGATCACCAAGATATAAAATTGTTATACAAAGCTTTGTAAACTGCAGTCATTAATAAGGACAATAGCAAATGACCAGATAGGATGCATTTCTGGGCAGGGATCCCTCCTATTGCTTTATAGATATGAATCCATCCTAATGACCTTGTCAAATTGGTTGCTTGTCTTCAACATTTTAAAGGAAGAGAGTCATAGAGAGACAAAATCACTTCCCAGGGTCACAGAAGCAGTAAACAATAGAACATGATTTGAACCCAGAGTGTCTGTCTACCAAATCTGTGAGAATTCTTATCTGCCATACTCCTCTGCCAAATACATGGAGCAGCAATCAGGGAGAGATTTGCACAGTATGATACTGGTTTTAAAATAAATCCACATAAATATAATCATAAGTGCAACCTATTCTGCAGTCTCTTCTGTTTAGTCAAAACTGTGTGTCCATATGGGTACTTAGAAAGTTTCTTCATTTCTTTTAGTTAATATGGCATATTCCGTGTATGACCACGTCAAATTCAGTATCCACTCATCTCTCACCAAGAAGCAATTGAGCTGCCAGGGTCCCTTCTCTCTCTATCACAAATGAGGCTGCAAAAGCTCCCTGGCCCAACACTCCACAGCTATATAGGGATGTGGGGGAGGGCTCCCCAGAATCCAGAATGGGTCTCATTGTACGGCTCAGAGAATTGATATTTTCTTAAAAGACTGCTTGATCATTCTTCAAAGTTGCTGTCTCCCTCCCTTTCCCTCTCTTGGGATTTGAGTTTCTAAGTATGGCAAACATCTGTTAAGGGCACTTGATTGAACTATAGAGGCAATTACAGGGTCCCAGAATGCTATTCAAAACTGAGAATTGTTATCAATAATGAAGGCTTTCAAGGGAAGGGTATTTGTTTGTTGGTCTGGTTTGGGCTTCACATAGGGGAAAACACAGCATGATTATCAGATATACTACATTTTGATCTCCCTGCTTTCGGCTCTGCTCCTGGGTACTAGTGCCCAGGCCTGTAGAGCAAGCAAATGAGGAGCTTTCCAAGGGGTGCGGCCTGCTTCCATTTAGTTCAAGAGTCACAGAACATCGCAGCCCCTCCCAAACAGAAGAGTACATCCCTTGTTTTTCTTTCTGTAATTTTTCAGATGTCTGAAAATGACTTCTTTCAAAGCCCAAAATGTCTTTCCATTAGAAATCACCCGATACCATCACTGTTGCCTGAGCCACAAGTGGTAATTAGTTGCAGGGAATCAATTCTTAAACTCCAGCGTATGTTTCCTCACCCAGTCCACTTATTAATAAAAGGCTTATCTTCCTGAGATGGGGTCCAGTTTGTTCCTCTTTTCTTGACCTCCCACTTCCCCAAAGGGAATAATAAATGAACTCCAACTCAAGGCACCATGCTGTCTATGAAATGGCCCATGACAAACCAACTGCATGTCCACACCACAGCTACACACATTTGTCTCTAGCCCCTTTCCCCCACGCTCAGTATGGTGAAACATCCATCTTCCCACTGAGAGATATTTTTTTGCATCTGTCCAATTGTTTTAAGAAAGACAGGTTGAAATTGATTTCTCACAGACACTTCTCCAGGGGGATCCCTCCCTTCTCTCAGTGGGTGACTTATGGGGTAGGGGCAATGGATTTCATTCCCGCTCACCTTTCATGGCTCAGTCTCTGCAGTGCGAGCCCTCTTCCAACATGCACCCCGCCTTGTGTGCTTACAGATCAGCACACCCAGGCCACAACAAACTTGGAGCCCGGCTTTCTATTTACTTTCCCGGAATCCAGTATGGGCTTTTCTCTGTTGCAGAAAACAGTTGCTGCATTCAGGAGGTCACTTATTTAAGCAGCCCATCCCCTTGTCTCCGTCTGCTGTGGTCCTTTTCCATAAGAGGATCTTTTGATTGTGTCCCGTCCTTTTTCTCAGCATGTCAGCCTCCCTGGGATCTCCTCTGCCTCTCCCATTCAGACAGCGAGCCACATAAAGAATGTTGGTCAGATCCTAGTGAACAGCTGTAGCATTCAAACATGACCCCGATGGCCCGGCCTTTTTGATTATTTAATCTGCTTGAAGTCCAGGGCACCAAAATAAAACAGCCTTCTTAATCCGGCTGTGGCTTCTGCATTCTGTTGACTTATCAACCACGCTGTGTCAACCCTCACCGGGTGGGGAGTGCCTGAAACAGATCCCCAATTTAGGGGTCTCGCAAAACAGCCAGCTGAGTGTGTAATATGAGAACAAATTGGCCTGCTGGAGGCTAACACAGTTTCCACAGTACACTTCTTTGGCTGTCAAGGGTGCACTCTGCCCACATCCTTGGAGATTAGCCATATTGACATGTCTCCGTGCCCTGAAATCCACAACCATGGTTTCCTTCAGTAGACATTACAATCCCTTCCCCCGCCACCCCCAGTGCCACAAATTTATCTCAGCTACTTGCTTGCTTGATCCATGTGCCATTTTCCCCATTGAACTGACCTTCTGGTCCTTCTGACCTTCTGGAAGCCTGACATAGTTAATCTTTCTGCATTCCCTAATGCTGAGGTTCAGGGTCTCTTCTCAGTTCTCTTCACATATAAAACAATAAAACTGGCTCTGTAGAAGCTGGACAGCAATGAAGTTGGTTGTTTACCAGTAGCCAGTGCTGTGAGCTTTCCTAATGGGGATTGGAACCACCTCTTTGAATATATAAAAGCCCGGCCATTGACCAAAGTGGGCTTCCAGTGCCTGGAGTGAGCCTTTTTTTTTTTTTTTACTACTCCAGAATGTTCCACAGGCTGTCTATGAACTGGTCAGGTGACAAAGTCACTTTTTATTGAGGTTGCATAAAGTAAACCTCTGGCCTCCAGAAGGGAGTTGATCAGTTGAGTGTGGACCCTGAAATCAGATGGGTCTGAATTAAGCTTGTCCACACAAAGTCTCATCTCATAGGGGCTAATGGTACTCAGTGCCTTACAAGATTATATCCAGGATTAAATCTAGCCCAGAGTGTCTTCATGAAGGCTACCAGAAGACTACAATGACCCATTAGAATACTCCCAGGACTTTTGAGCTGCTCTCACTGGAAGAGGGCCAGGGGGAAGCCTGGCTCCTCAAGCCACTCTGAAGTATTAGGTTTCTGAGGGAGGCGGAGAATCCCCTGTCCGTGAGACCTGATACTGTACGCTGTTTCTGAATAGCCCCTTGGGAGAGACTTTTCTTGTGTGGACAACCTGCTTCCCACCTTATAGACTATAGCATGCACACCCTGCCATTTCTGGAACTTCCTCTTTACTCAGCCTGTGCCCATTGTCCTTCTCTTCAGCACCCCTTGCATCTGATGCAGTGGAGACAATTCAGGAAATTAACAGAAAAGGTCTAATTGCGAAAAGCCACATCCATTTGAGGCAAAAGTAAATAGTTTCTTCCTGCTCCGTTCCTTCCTTCCCACCATTGTTCTTCTTTTCCACGTGCATACAGTACAATGATAATCATTTCTTGATGACACATGTCCATGGCTGGTGTGTCTGTAACATTCACACATCAGAACATAACGGACACCCATAAGCTTCACAACTTCACAGCATAGTCCAAGAACTATGATGTCACATATCTACCTGCATGCCTCTGTCTTTCCCAGGGATCAGAAAACGTGTGTGTGTGTGTGTGTGTGTGTGTGTGTGTGTGTGTGTGTGTGTAAAAGGCAATAGAGTATTTTAGACATTGAGGGTCATCTTGTCTCTATGGAGACTATACAGCTTCCCA